GCATTAACATAGGACATACCAAAACAGCATTAACATAGGACATACCAAAACAGCATTAACATAGGACATACCAAAACAGCATTAACATAGGACATACCAAAACAGCATTAACATAGGACATACCAAAACAACATTAACGGAGGACATACCAAAACAGCATTAACATAGGACATACCAAAACAACATTAACGGAGGACATACCAAAACAACATTAACAGAGGACATACCAAAACAGCATTAATATAGGACATACCAAAACAGCATTAACATAGGACATACCAAAACAACATTAACGGAGGACATACCAAAACAACATTAAAATAGAGAACATACCAAAATAACATTAACAGAGAGGACATACCAAAACAACATTAACGGAGGACATACCAAAACAACATTAACAGAGAGAACATACCAAAATAACATTAACAGAGGACATACCAAAACAGCATTAACATAGGACATACCAAAACAACATTAAAATAGAGAACATACCAAAATAACATTAACAGAGAGGACATACCAAAATGACCTTAACAGAGGACATACCAAAACAACATTAACAGAGAGGACATACCAAAATGACCTTAACAGAGGACATACCAAAACAACATTAACGGAGGACATACCAAAACAACATTAACAGAGAGGACATACCAAAACAACATTAACATAGGACATACCAAAACAACATTAACAGAGAACATACCAAAACAACATAAACAGAGGACATACCAAAACAACATTAATGCAGGACATACCAAAACAACATTAACGGAGGACATACCAAAACAGCATTAACATAGGACATACCAAAACAACATTAAAATAGAGAACATACCAAAATAACATTAACAGAGAGGACATACCAAAACAACATTAAAATAGAGAACATACCAAAATAACATTAACAGAGAGGACATACCAAAACAACATTAACAGAGAGGACATACCAAAATAACATTAACAGAGAGGACATACCAAAACAACATTAACAGAGAGAACATACCAAAATAACATTAACAGAGAGGACATACCAAAACAACATTAACAGAGAGGACATACCAAAATAACATTAACAGAGAGGACATACCAAAACAACATTAACAGAGAGAACATACCAAAATAACATTAACAGAGAGGACATACCAAAACAACATTAACAGAGAGAACATACCAAAATAACATTAACAGAGAGGACATACCAAAACAACATTAACGGAGGACATACCAAAACAACATTAACAGAGAGGACATACCAAAACAACATTAACGGAGGACATACCAAAACAACATTAACAGAGAGGACATACCAAAACAACATTAACGGAGGACATACCAAAACAACATTAACAGAGAGGACATACCGAAACAACATTAACGGAGGACATACCAAAACAACATTAACAGAGGACATACCAAAACAGCATTAACATAGGACATACCAAAACAACATTAACATAGGACATACCAAAACAACATTAACGGAGGACATACCAAAACAGCATTAACATAGGACATACCAAAACAACATTAAAATAGAGAACATACCAAAATAACATTAACAGAGAGGACATACCAAAACAACATTAAAATAGAGAACATACCAAAATAACATTAACAGAGAGGACATACCAAAACAACATTAACGGAGGACATACCAAAACAACATTAACAGAGAGGACATACCGAAACAACATTAACGGAGGACATACCAAAACAACATTAACAGAGGACATACCAAAACAACATAAACAGAGAGGACATACCAAAACAACATTAACGGAGGACATACCAAAACAACATTAACAGAGAGAACATACCAAAATAACATTAACAGAGGACATACCAAAACAGCAAATACTTTTATTGTATATTTTTAACCGTGGATGTACATTATTATGGATAACGGTACTTGTTACCAGATCAGATTGGTCCTTGTTCTTGATCCTAAAGATATTCATATTTCTTTGCTCCAAAACGATTCGTTTGTGAGCCTATGCCCTGGTGTGGCATCCGTCGTTCCCTTACCCTTCGAACGACTTCTTTTCAAAAGGCCCATGGTACTGAAATTTGGTCTGTGGCATGTTGGGATGAAGAGCTACCAAGTTTGTTCAGAGAATTACCTTGACACACGCTCGAGGCAACTGGGATCTGATGTGTTCAAATCTTAACATCACTTCTTTTCAACAAACAAAGGGTTCAGAGCACTGATATTGGCTCGAAGAATGATGAGACAAGAGCTAGTACATTTGCTTAAATGAATCTTCTCGACCCACTTTCAAGGTCATAACACTTCAACTTTTTTTTCTCAATAACTAAGAGGTCCATGGCAATGTCCCAGCAAACAGCTGGGCTGAAGAGATGCCACATTTGTAATTATGAATGATCTTGACTTATTTTCAATATCACAGTTATCAAATTAGTCAAGAAATTAAAAATTCTTCTTTACAATAACCAATATGATTTGGACCATGTTATTCATGGATTAGCATATTTGCAGAACGGACGTTCATGATTGCAGGATATGGCTTAACGAATTGGCAAAATCTCTCTCTAAGGAGCAGAACAGATGGGCGATCCAGGTCCATCGGACCTCTTGTACTGCTAGGGCATGTATGGATATTTCACTAAATTAAGTTCGAATGAATTAAATAGTGGCCGTGATACTGTTCTCTTATAGAGACTCGCGTAAAATATGAGTTACGAGTTTGTTCATTTTCTGATCATAATCTATTTGTATCTCTTTCTTCTATCTTTCTATGTCATTGTTTTTCATATTCTGTCGTTGTAGAATAATAATATCTGTACAACTTAATCGTTTAAATTACACGGAAAATATATGTTCATATAACAAAAAGGCTCGCTAAACTCTTTTCTTTTTCATGCAAGACAAATCAGAGGAAATCTCCATTACTTTTGATTTCAAATTTTTAAATTATCATTTTATAAACCTTGTGGATGAAATATAAGCTCACGTGGGTAATTATTTTAGTATTTTGTAACAGAACTATTACAAATACTTGCTGAATATTAAAGAGAAATAAGATGAAGGTTGTTTTTTAATTATTTATCCTATCAATATGAATATAACATTATGAAGATGTCAGTTCACCAGGTCTCTCGCAAAATCTTTTCGGATTGGTTTCTAACATGTGAATCTACATTTCAGTTGACCAATCAAGATGAAGTATGACTGATCCTTAACTGTGGCTTCGTGCATTCTTTGCTCACATATTCAGCGTACAGGTGAGGGAAAGGCGAGGCGGAGTTTATAGAGGAAATATGACAAGTGTTTCAGAATGACTAAACAGTACCTCATAAGCTCACTGAACCAAGGCATATTTCCTGTCATCTAATCACCGCGCGCGTTTAGTTCTTTTATCTATCAATATAAGGAAACATATCTATCATCTTCATTAAGCGTGGTAGCATGATTGAAAGGCAATCTTTCTTTTTTACTTAATACGACTGATATTTTCTTAATTACGTTTATTTCTATTAATAAGGATACAATTAGAAGTACCGGGATGACGTAAGCGCAATCTATTGAGGTTGTAATTTTAATTTATCAATCAATCAATCAATATATTTTATTTGAGTGTCACATATCACGAAGAGGGTTTTTTTCTCTCGCAAACTGTAATTGAAAAATTAAAAATTAGAAAGATAAATCTTCGATACACGATTATCGATATATATGTGTCGTTCCTGTGTTATACAGGAATGATAAATTTAAATTTGATATTCCATATTACTTTCTTTTTTCTATGTTATTTATTTATTTATTCTGTAATACCCTGAAATGATTCATGTTTACTATCTCCTACGTTCTACCCCAAAAATTCTCTCTCGTATATAGAACTAATTGAATATTTTTCGTGACGAATTAATTCCAAGCAATTTTTTTACAGCTTAATTAAACTTCTGGGCTAATTGAAAATTTTGTGCCGAAATTATTACCAGCAAATTTAACTGCTTAACTAACATATTTGAATCCAAGAGGAAAACTATAGCTGATAAAAATTGGTAATTTTTCGCATGTGTTTATTTTATAGCGTATACCGGAACAGCTAAAGAGTTTCATTCATTTCAAAATCCAATAGGACAAATAAAGAAATGAACTAAAACCCCTTAATGTATTCTCCGTGAACAGGAAGGAAAACGCTTACATTTTTGAATAATAAAATCCGTATCTACATATTACCAGGAAAGCGGGTTTCTTGAAAGCAACATCATTATCAACTGGCACTGACTGGTTTTCGTTCTTCCGGATACGGACAAGAACCGGAGTTAGGCACACATAATTCTTCCTCTTGGAAGAACCAAGGCTTGTACTGTCAATAGTCAAACAACAAGGCTAAATCTACATTATTTTTTAGGGGTTAAACCGTGAATGTCTTAATTCAAAAATACGTAGTTTTTACAGGGTGATTTACAATAATTTAACAGGATGTTTAACAATATACACACTTAACATTAATTAATTGTATAATTGTTTGAAATTTTAATTAAAAGTGTTAAAATTTCAATTTATGGGGATTTTTAAAACCAATTTTTAAATCAAAGCATTCGAAATAATTTTGTTGGTTTTCAAACTAAATTCTTTTCTATTAAACCTGCTTAGTAGCAGTCTAAATTTACGATTGAAATGTTGAGTCAGAATAATGTATATATTTGAAATATGATGAAAATGTAACTTTGTATATATTCTAATTCTGACTAACAGTGGCGTAATCTATAAATATATTTCAACACTAGTGTCGGACTCTTAGGCAATATTCCCCCTATCTGAGTGATATTCTAAATTTATTCTTAAACACAAGCTGATGCCACACAATACGGTTATGACTCCCCAGCTGATTCCACATAGTCTCACATGCATGACATATATCCGCTGACTACAACAGCTATTTTTGGGATTTCCACTTCGACCTGGTGAGTATGTGTGTCTGTACACGATAGCTCGGTGTGATTGACGCAGGTCGTTCACAGTACACAGCTGCAATGAAACCCACTAGTGCGTGCAAAACCAAGGGAAAAACCAAACGGGAATTCCCCTACAAATTTCCTCTGCCCCACAATACAAAGGGCAAGTTTCTGCGTTGCTGTGCGGCCTACGTGGTTGGAAATTCCGAACCGAGATCATTGAATTTGAATGACCCGAGGATTTCTATTACAAGGTATTTACACTTCCACAAGGTTTTCCAAGCGACGGTAGCTATAAACTGAATAACAATTTTCAGTACGGCACATTCAACAACATAGCGAACACAAGAGCAATATTACGATATAATATCTCAACGACCTTGGTGTACCAACTTGGACGCCATATTTGATCAAGCGAGTGACGCTCATACAGTGTTTTGGCAGTGCGTGAATAATATTTTGCGCAAATAGTACTAAGATTTACTTTGTTGAGGCTCGGGAGAAATCGGACAAAATGAATGACATAGAAACTGATGGGGAAAAGGTCACTCGACCTAGCCCTCTGAGAATGGATCACTTAAGTAAGTTACACCAGAAAGATATGGACAACTCGGAGAGTCTGGATTTCGGATACGGTTCCAGTTCTCTTTCGTTTTCCAGTGCAGATGTGAAAAGTTTGCGGGACGATATCGTGAATATTGACAGTAAAAGTATGGGAGCGCTGAAGGAGGAGATTTGTGAAATTCACGCGGACATAGATGAAATTTCAAGAAAAACGGGTGAAATGAAAGTGGACGAAGGATTTATGGAGGAAAAAGTGTCTGTGGTGGACACTGAACCCATTGACAGGGTAACGCCTGAAGCATTGATGGTTTATGGCACAGACTCAGAAGGTGACAATCTCTTGTTTTTGGCCATTATAAATGGTCAGATATCTTTAGCAACTGTTATCATCCAGATGGCGCCAGCTGAAGACTGGCTTGATATTTTCAACGATGAATTACGACAGACTGCTCTACATCTCGCTGTCTTGACGAGACAGGTTTCTGTGGTCAGAAGATTGGTGGTAGGGGGTGCATGTGTAGAAATGTGTGATCGCAATGGGGACACACCCCTCCACATCGCGTGCCGACAGGGAGACATTGACTTGGTTCGAGCGTTGTTGGAACCGGTTCGGTATGAGGAATTAATGCAAAATGAATATTCTATTCGTTTCCAGAAAATCCCACAGAATTTGGAAATCAGAAACTCTTCTGGGTGCACGTGCTTGCACGTGGCGGCTGAAAATGGACACATGAACATCATGAAACTACTGCTTTCAAAAGGAGCACGGATAAATAACGGTGACGCGAAAAGAGGCGCAACGGTGCTGCACCGAGCGGCTGAGCGAGGCGACTTAATTCTCACCACATTTCTTCTGGGACTTTCTGAAATCAATGTGGACAGTAAAATGTATGACGGAGCTACACCGGCAGCCATTGCTCATGGCAGACGACATGGGGAAATTGTAGACGTTCTGAAAAAGTTTGGAGCAAGAACTGATTTCTTGAATGATACGTTCGACGAGAGCGATTCTGATGTGTAAAAACAAATAACATTTTGAACTAAAACATAATCTCCACACGCGAATTTGATAAAAGCAGGAGATATTGTGAACTTTAAAAGGCAGCTGCAGGTTATTAATGCAAGTGTACGACAGAAAGGTTGTGAAATTATGAGAGTAGAAAAATGGTGTCAATAAATTAGAGGTCTCAATTTAGGGATGAGGGTGGTCGAGGGATTACAAGGATAAATGAAATCCGTTCATAATAAATCTATGAAATGTATTGTAATTTTGAATATTAATGTTAAATGAAAAAACGCAGTGTTAGATAGGTATACAAGTGTGCTATACCAACAACAGGTAACTAAGAGTCACAAGTAAATTGGGCGAGATTTGATAGAAAATAGATATACGCCGTAAACTATTTGGGAAATTCCAGATTAGTACTATTACGCCGCCGAAGTATATAGCTGTGGTTTAAATATGACCACTGGAATTCGCATTGTGACAGGTGCGGCAGATTATGGTAGCGTGTTGTACCGGGTGACCTCATCAGCGATATATTAACCCAGGCGAGACTTCCTGGTGCGACTTGTATCGTTGAGTTCTATCGATTAGCTAGGGGAGAGAAAATAGACTCGCAAATCAACTTCAGATCAAATGTATTAACTGAAATAATCCGGAACAGTTTTATTTGTATGTTAGTGTATAGTGTTTAAGGTAATATTTATTGTTACATATTCTCAATGTATTTAAGTGTTCTGCTAGTTCAGTGTACGTAACTTAAAGCTGAACGAAGGCCGAATTCACTGAGCTGATTAATTGATTCATTTTGATTCCCTTCTAATTTAAGACTATTGAGTACCAGGCTGGTTTTCGAGATGTAATCACAATGCTCATTGATTTCTGATCTTTCGTTTTGGCTCGCCAGTAATTAGATAGTTTGATAACATTTTATTTTTTATAATTTAAAATTTCATCGATTACAAAAATCTTAAAATACTTTTTTTCAAAGATGCAATAAATTTTTTTTTTTTTTTTTTTTTTTGGAAAAAGTAAACCCAATTTTTTGAAGGGGAATAAATTCGTAAATAATTTCAGACACCATTTTTTTTTGTGAGCGATGAAATTTTAATTTTGTAATAGAATATAATGATATTTGTCTGTATTAATATGTATAATTTATAATTGTTTATTTATGTTTAATAAAAATGATAATGAAACAGTTAAAATGCATTTGTTTTATGTAATTGATAAACACGTGGATTGGAACCATGCGGTGATGTAGTTGCTTTCGGATTTCTTATTGTAGAATGAAAAAAAATGACCTTGGGACATATTTCATCAAATGGTTGGACGATATCAAACGATATGTCGATATTTACAGACCTATGACAAATTAATTATATTCCGTTTTTCACTTACAATAGACAAAACGTGAGTAAACAATGATTAAAAGACAAATTGACACACCATGGGTTATGTAGGTCTAGTGATAATGCATCGTTTTTTCGCATGAAAATATCACAAATTGATACCAGACTATTATGTCACGAGTTATTTCAAATAAGAAAAAAAGCAAAGACAATTATTCCAGCGATACCTAGATTTATTGACCGAAGTCAAAATGATACTGACCTCGGTTGATATGGTTGTATGATACATCTTGGTATCGACCTCATTCAAGGCTTACGTTGTATTGTTTGTGAGGGTGTGTGCGAGTGTGTGTTTTTTTCTCTACATCCTGATATTTGCCGCGCAAAAAAAGATTGATGTGTGAAGGTTAACAACATCCTTTACAGACGGAGAGTAGAGTAAAAACCCATTTCTACAAATAGTCGATACGGATTTATCATAAGCTGTAAGATACAATAAACTACCTGTTTTAGATCGACCGCATGCCGCACTTGACTTCTGGGGAAAACCAACAACCAGCACTCCTTTTAAATAATTGCGTTATCTCTCTTTTTTCTTTTTAGTTGAGGAACAGGCTCTTTGTTGGTCGTGTACGTCATTGTTATTGTACATACCTATGTTTTTTTGTTTTTTTTTTCATTGAAATTGATATCTTTCGTACATATATATTTATAGACAAACCGAAAACTAAAACGACTTTTTTGTTTAAATCCGTGTTTCCGTTTGTCAAAAGTACCATAAATAAATTCTTTAATGTTTCTAATGTACAACCATCCTGTGACAAGTTTCATTCGCAGCTAATTAAATGAACAGATATAGTTATAGTAGAATATTTTCACTTCTTAAAGTACATACGAAAAAAGTAATATTTCTGTTCATACTGCATTTTATACTGTATCTGTAAACAACTACTGGATTTCTCACCGCGAAAATCATTCGCCACATAAATTTACCATTTTTACAGTACAAAATGGGCTTGTTTTGTCGTACCATGTTCTGTGGTTATAATTGAGATCAATACTTAAGCTTGCCAGGGGCACCATGTCCTTAGTGCTACATCCTGGTACGAGCCTTGATAAACAGCAAACTCGTCCGATATTGGTCGGCTGGAGTTCTTGTGTGAACGTTCCGGGTTTCAATACTATTCCAAATTTGAAATTTGCCATCTCGATATTAATTAAGCGCTTATTGTGTTTACTCAAAATTAAGCCAGCGAGTCCTGACTAACTATTTTGTATAAAACATGTTTCCATTGAATGCATACGAGATCAACACAACATGAAATTACTTTTTGACTTCGACTTGGTCCGCTCGAGAGATCAACTGACACTGAAATTGACATCATTGTAATTGACATCATCATTGTGTTAGGCCGCGTTTCTTGGAATTTAGCGTAAAAATCAATTTCATTACGTAGAAATTTCCTGTGTATATCGCCCTTGTATCAGATTTCCTTGTACAATCTGTCAGCTTGAGCTATTGTCTTGATGAATTGTTCTGGTTTTGAGGTGTATCTCATTAACAAATAAACAGAAAAGAGGTATGGTAACAATGTATTATAATATGTGAAATGTCGGCCATTTCTGTAAGCAAAAACTGTAACTATTTTTACACAACATCAATGAAAAATAGCCAATCATAATAAAAATGTCACTTTCACTATTTACATGCAGATACACGACAGCAAATACGTATAACTTCTTCTCGTTATAACAGTTATGTGTCTGCACGGTATCTTAAGCATGTGTCTCATGAATATTCATGTGAATATATAGAGAGAGATAGTGATACTTATACAAGGTTAGCTTAAACGAGAAATTACTCTGCAGAAAGATATCATCAAAACAAAATGTGTGTATGCCCCTCGGATCGAAAGATCTGTCTGTTGTCCATTTCAACCTTGCCCATGACTATTGCACCGTAAGAGATATGGCTTCCATATTTGGTATGTGTGTTCCTTGTGACAAGACCTTTCTGGCGGTATCAAATTGTTTGACCATATGACCTTAACCCTCTGGACTTTTGACCTACATTCGAAAAAAAATTACATTGGCCATAACTATTGTACCATAAGATGAAGGGCTTTCGTATTTGTCACTTGCGTCCTTTGTGACAAGACCAGAATGATGACATAAGTGTTTCACAAAGTTTGCATATAATTAGCACATGTCTTACACAGTACAGTTTTAATGTCCCACTTCAGAATTTTGTTGCATAGTGTTTCATAAACGCATCTTGTTTCTTCTGTAATAGTAAGGTTTTTGGGTACAGTACTTTCCTATTTTTGGACACAGAACATTCGTTCTCTTGGTTTACAACACCCTTCCACTGTTTTTCAGATGGTATTCAGTCTTTTGTTACAACACCTTTCAACTGTTTTGGAGAAAAGATCCAATCTTTAAGTTTAAATATAAATCTATACAAGTATAAGGAAAAGAAAGATTAAGATGGAGGCCCCTGAAAAAGTACAAGGATAGTAAGACCAGGTGTTTGGTTCCGGAATAGTAAGCGTCTTCTGCTTCATCGCCAACTACTTGCTATTCAAATCTTGTTCAGTCCAAGTAAGTAACGTCACGTTTTCAAATGAGAAGGTATACAACAATGGATGCAGCAGGCAAACTAACGAGCATCAAACACATCCGGTTTCTCATCGAACGAAGAAATATGATCACTAAGACGACAGTTAAACTTCCCTATAATTTTCATCAACCAAAATAATTTGAAATCCAGTGTTCCGAGCTTGTCAGTCAGTTGAACACTTCTTGAAAGAAATTGATAACAGGTCTATGAACATGGAATCAACTGCGACTTATAAACACCACAGTCTCCGTTCACACAAATGTAAATCTTGTAATGTTACGAACTGTCTTCAATTGGTCACTCGAAAAATAACATATTTCATTATGAATTTAGAATCGGATACAGTAGAGCGATATATTAATAAAACTGGATCATACAGCTGTTTTGTCCTTCTAGGACGCGTCAGTGATGATACATCATACAGCTGTTTTGTCCTTCTAGGACGCGTCAGTGATGATACATCATACAGCTGTTTTGTCCTTCTAGGACGCGTCAGTGATGATACATCATACAGCTGTTTTGTCCTTCTAGGACGCGTCAGTGATGATACATCATACAGCGGTTTTGTCCTTCTAGGACGCGTCAGTGATGATACATCATACAGCGGTTTCGTCCTTCTAGGACTCGTACGTGATGCTGCATCATACAGCTGTTTTGTCCTTCTAGGACTCGTCAGTGATGCTACATCATACAGCGGTTTTGTCCTTCTAGGACGCGTCAGTGATGATACATCATACAGCGGTTTCGTCCTTCTAGGACTCGTACGTGATGCTGCATCATACAGCTGTTTTGTCCTTCTAGGACTCGTCAGTGATGCTACATCATACAGCTGTTTTGTCCTTCTAGGACGCGTCAGTGATGATACATCATACAGCGGTTTCGTCCTTCTAGGACTCGTACGTGATGCTGCATCATACAGCTGTTTTGTCCTTCTAGGACTCGTCAGTGATGCTACATCATATAGCTGTGTCGTCCTTCTAGGACTCTTCAGTGATGCTACATCATACAGCTGTTTCGTCCTTCTAGGACTCGTAAGTGATGCTGTATCATACAGCTGTTTCGTCCTTCTAGGACTCGTCAGTGATGCTACATCATACAGCTGTTTCGTCCTTCTAGGACTCTTCAGTGATGCTACATCATAGAGCTGTTTCGTGATTCTAGGACTCGTCAGTGATGCTACATCATACAGCTGTTTCGTCCTTCTAGGACTCGTAAGTGATGCTGTATCATACAGCTGTTTCGTCCTTCTAGGACTCGTCAGTGATGCTACATCATACAGCTGTTTCATCCTTCTAGGACTCGTCAGTGATGCTACATCATACAGCTGTTTCGTCCTTCTAGGACTCTTCAGTGATGCTACATCATACAGCTGTTTCGTCCTTCTAGGACTCTTCAGTGATGCTACATCATACAGTTGTTTCGTCCTTCTAGGACGCGTTACTAATACTACATCATAGAGCTGTTTCGTCATTCTAGGACTCGTCATTAATGCTACATCATACAGCTGTTTCGTCCTTCTAGGACTCGTCAGTGATGCTACATCAAATAGCTGTTTCGTACTTCTAGGACTTGTCAGTGATGCTACATCATATAGCTGTTTCGTCCTTCTAGGACTTGTCAGTGATGCTATGGGCCTAAATTTTGAAGCATATAAGGCAACTAATTTGAATCCAAAAGGATCGAAAGAAAAATCAAAATCTAGTCGGGGAGGTGCACAAATTCCATAATTGAAGTAAATTTCGCTTTTTTGGAACAGTGTCAAATAAATATGTATATTCTGAACCGTACGAGTATTCTAATTGATAAAACGTGGCTTCAAGGACTGAAAGTGCATCAGTAGTGTCTACATCCTGTAATGTTGAAGATTGTACAAAGGCACGCAGTTGAGTAGCGCCTTTTAATATAAATTTAGAGTTAGGTACAGTAGAGTCAAAGAATTAACTTAAAACAGTTGAATGTTCAACCACGTTTGATCCCAGAGTTTGAAGCTCCGCTGGTAAAAAAATATTTACACAGTTTTGCATTTAAAGTATAATCTGGCAAATATAGGTAAGAGTTAGGAAAATACAAAGTTTTAAAACTTTCCAATGTGGTGGACTTTTTTTATCTGACTGTGATATGTTGATGACAATGTTAACAAAGGTATTGATTAAAATCAATTGTTCA